TCTCCAGCATCTGAGAGTTCATTTCCTCGTGGGATGCAACCCTTCGCCGAGTCTTATTCCATTCAGCTGAAGAGGCCATGCGCAAAGCAAAGCCAACCAGTGTGTAGCCACGTTTATCTCCGACATCTTTCCAGTAGTACATACATACAATCGCCCAAATATTCTCAACGGCAGAATCACACGCTAAGAGGACTTTGCCCAGTAACATTTCAACATGCCGTCGAAGCGCCTGATGCAAATCGGGGCGAAACACTCTCGATGAAATTGAGAGAATCACCGTGAAGAGGAGGCTTGAGGCTTCACGAGTATAAGAAAAGGTGTACAGGTCGGGATCCAGCAGCCCCACTAGATAATTAAAATGTGTGAAAAAACTGCATGTCGAACGTTAGCACTCTTGCCCGACAACTGCGGAGAAAAACTTACTCTGCGAACAGAGACTGTGCAGATGGCCGACTTAGGATTCTGAGATTGATAGGATCATCTACTGCGGTTTTGTCACGATCAGAATTGGAGATTGAAGTCCTCTCACTGTTGGTGCTGTCCAGCACGGTCCGCTCTGGGTCCAACGCTGCATCCAACGAGAGTCCCCGAGTGTCCTCAGAGTGACTAACAAACGAAGGAGGAGCAAAAGAGCTGTCTTCTGACCTGTGGCGGCTCGGGGATTGCTTCTCTGAAGGAGATAGGCCTTCGGACGGCGAATTGTCAGGCAAGCCGCCACGGAGTACAGGAAGGAAGTTGTCTTGGGGACTTTGAGGGTCCTTCTGCTGATCCCAAGTCGTCGGTACAGGCAGTGACTTTGAAGGCGACTTGGAGAAATTCCAGTCTGTTTCGACCGGAACCGCTCTCGTGATGGCTGTGTCTTGGACAGGAGGTAATGGTAGTTGGGGAAACTCATCCGATAGCCTGATACAGTCAATTCTACAGAGTCGACACCACGACCAAGATAGGTATTAGCGCACCTGGAAACCCCTAGGGCATAATCACGTCTCCAAAGTCCGCGTCGATTCGATTCGAAGAGGCATTCCTTCTGTTGTCTCACGCATCGGTCGCATCGGTTTGGCTCGAGACCGCTACTTATGCATTTCATCTTCGCCCGCCGGCAAGCTGTACAAGCGAGCCCATAAGGCCTATCACCTGGTCAGAAGGTGTCTCAAACCCCCCAGTACTGCCATGACGCACCTTCGTTGAGCCGCATTGGCGGCGCTTGCAGACATCGCGCTCGCAGAACATCTGTATTCCTCAGAGAGGGGATGGGAAGATTAGATTTAGCACGTGTCGGGGTCTGGCCGAAGCCAGCAAGCCCTATTCTCTCATGGGCTGAGCATAGATCCGTCGGTCGGATCCTTAGGACCATTTCCCGACATGGCCTCAATCCCGCTTGAATCTTTTAGGCAAGAGGTCCCCCATGTCTCGGCTTGTCTTAGCTTCAACTTTTGCATGGGCTCTCTTCGCCTTGCACAGTGCGAGCTAGAGCGAGTATTTTCCATAATTGGAAATCTTGTGCCTCCACTTAGTCAGCGACCATGCCGCTGTCTCGCTTGGCAAGTAATCCGCTGTATCAGCTGTTGCTTGAAGCTCCATCGAGGAAATTCGATCAGTTCAAAGCTTAACTGAGGGCCAATATGATAGCAAGACGGCGAGCAATTGAGGATTTCAACAGATTTTGTCTCCAGAGGTTAGACACGCAGTGCTGCTCGCCTCCGTAACATGCGGCTGATTACCCACACAAAGACAAACATACTTGTATGTCGATGAACAACTTGTTCGGAAATGTTTCAAGAGGCTTTACTTTTCATGATCACCGAAGGAACAGGATAATGAAGTTTCATGTCCTCGAAATCTTATATCGATTGGGAGGAGTCAATGCTTTTTGAACTGTCGATGTTCCTTTAGGACCGGCATTCACTGCTAAGTGGGTCAGATTTCCGGCGTTCGAGGTGTGTTCTTCTCAACGCCGGCGGTGGGCTAGACCAAACTAAGACACTCCAAACACCATCGATCTTGAATGACAAGCATTTTCCATTCAGAGTTGTCTTCAATAGCTACTTACGCTACTGAATCGGATGCCGGCATTGTTGACAACTAGCATGTCGGCGGTATTCGAGATCAGTAATCTATGGTTGATTCTACAACAGTCATGCGTGATTCCATCATGCCGGTGATGGGCCACTTTACGAGGCCAGAGACGCCGGAGACTCTGCTTCCGTGCGATGCGGTGCACACAAGAAGTCCTGCGGCAATTGATGTTTGCTATTTTGGGTAAGTGGTAACAGTGCAGGCTCTTTATCCAGCATGAAAGTGTCATCGGATAGGGAAGCTTTGCTTAGCTGACTCAATGCCTATGAGAGGCGTATCACTGAGGAGAGGATGACTTCACCTGTGTTGGAAAGCTATCTTCATAGTGATTATGACATTGAGAAAGCAGTTCCTCATTCTTCCTCGTTGGATTTTGGTCGGAGTGGTCTGTAGCTTCCGAGTACAGCAACATTTGATTTCAATGTGACTGAGTAATGTATAATACCGTGAAGCCTCTTCCCAGCACGATGCATTCCACAAAAATAAAAGTAAAATCATTGTTGCGATTTGTCTCAAAGTGGCTCATTCCCATAAAGTCAATTACATCAGATGCCCAAGTTGTCTTGCATCAACGTCCGTTGAAAGTACTAGATACATATTCTCTATCTCCTGCCGGTGTTGCTTTCCCAAACTAACAACGAATGCAGCCCAATCTGATCCAAAGAAAGTGACGTGTGTCCGGCATGCCAAAGTATTACAAGTGTGGGAGCCTTAAGTATAAAGATGTGTGAACTCCTCTGCAATTTTAGAAATGCTTCACTTTTTAACTAATGTGAAATATGTTTGTATGCAATAGATGTGGTTGAATTTTGTTATTCTCTATTTGCGGATGCCACCTCCATTACACCGGATACCAAAATTGGCTTCTGTTTACCTTTGCTCTATTTTCCTCTTTCCTCTTCATTTTTTCTTTTGCTCGGTGTGTAATGAAATTTAGGTTCAGTGAGCATGAAAGTACGATTCATCCGTCTCTGTCAAAGCAGTCGTGCTTCTATCGTGACGTTTAAAATCGCAATTAATGTAGGGAAAATCATCAATAAATTGAATGAGAAACTCCCAGCGATGCACCAAACCGAAGATCGGTTTTAGCCCTTTGGATGTGTCAGCCACAATTGGATGACAGCGGGCTTCGGTGAACGGGCTTGGGCGGCATAACGGCGGTTGGCGGGCACGGCGGTGTCGGTACCGGCATTGGCTGGTAAGGCTGAGCCATCCCCGAATAGCGGTTCTGATTAACAAGAAACTAGGAAAACAGTGAATCTTGCACGAAGCATAAACTATGCTGAAGCCCAGCATTATATGATAGATGATTCAGCATGCAATTGAAATTTCGGAACCGAAGAACTCGGTCACACACTGGGCCAGACTTGCACTTTCAAAAGAGCCAACAAGATCAAAGCCTTCCTATCTCGCAAAAGCTTTACCAATTCGCATCCTATTCTGCCATGGATAATGTGGACTCATTTGATGTTTGGTCACTTTGGTGGCAGGCTGCATATATTGGCGTCGATGATAGCTCTGCTATTGGCCTTGAACCTGACATCGACTTCGGCCTGGTCTCGGAATATTCTACCCATTCCTCGTCACCTTCTTACTCTGAAGAGGAGGATTTTAACAAGGGTAATGGAGGGCCAGAAACCACCTCTGCCAAGTGTATCTCACGCTCAACGAGCAAGAGTAAACCAAGGCAGACACCATACACAGATACGCAGCTGATGGTAAGATACTTGCTAGCCTTGCACAAATATTGAGACTCATGAGAAAATCTCGTTTCAGCGTCGCCGTGAACAGAATCGTAGTTCCCAGAAAGCGTATCGCGAACGGAAAGACCGACGAATTAAAGAGCTAGAGGCTCAAGTAGCTAGTGCACAGCAAGCTACGAAGGAATTCTTTTCGGCATACGAAGAGTTGAAATTGGAGTTCCAGACTCTTCAAAAGAATCAGTCTCAGCAGGATGTCGTTATCGCTGGCCCTATCGCTGATCATAACTGCTTGCCGACGGAAACGATTGGACCAGAAGATCTCCATACTGCGGAGGGAGACTCATTATTGTGGAACCCATCAAGTGCGGACATTCAAACTCAATGGACTTCTATTGATGGGGATATTCCCATCGGACCGGTGGAAATTCCAATTTACACTACACGAAGTTGGCCTGAGCTGACTAAGGCGAACGATGGAGTATGGGAATGCCGTCAAAGTGTAGTGAAGAGATGATGAGGATGGATAATATATCAATTCTAGCATAATTCAAATGCTATGCCTTATAGAGCGCCTAGTGTAAGACAGATATATATAGGAGAAGCTTAGAACTAATGATATTGTGAGAGCGTTCTATACGTTCATCTTTAACTCCCTGTTGAGTCTAGAAAATGCCGTTTCAAAGAGTACAGTATGAGGGCTACGTATAAGTACTGATGAGATTGCGATACTTTGGCGCAGATAGCTAAATATGGAATGACTTGTAACTAAGAACGTTAGGTGCAAGATGCTAGGAGTTGCCTTTCAACCTCTGACTGATGATTCTCATAGCTTCTTCAATTTGCAACAAAAAGCTCATTTCATCGGACTAGAGCCATTAGCTTCATATATAGTTGCTAATATTTGCGAAGATCGGGCCGTTGCTAGTAGAACTGAAAAAGTATTACTTACTTACAGAGACGAAGTGGCCTGGTACATAATCTTAGCTAATTGTTGTCAGAGGCCGCGATCAAACGACGCCTAACATTCTTTTAGTTCGAAATATCACCTTACAATATCAACCCATTTGTCTCTTCACTTGTAATGTGAAACTCAGACAAGTCAGGGGCAATAGGTGTGATAGGGTTGACTACATAGATACATATCAATGATTACTTGTGTTGAAGGCTTGCAATAAAAGTACATGCCTGGCTATCAGAATCATTGAAGCATCAAAAACTGGTTCATTCTTGATCCCAGTCATATCCATCCCAATCATAATCCAGATCGTCATCGTCACTGGGCGAATCATTGTAGCTGGTGTACCCTTCACTATCGTCTGCCCACTGGCCCATCAATAACGGCATCGTGTAACACTTATCAACTTTGCCACCTGTTATACTGTACTCAAGATCCTCACTTTGGAGTATCTCAGGACCTTTCTCCGGATCCGCTGCCAGGAACATCCTTGCCGGATTACCATCGCTGTATGTACACAGAACGGGATAGAATACATTCATGTCAGGGTCAAGAGCAGCAAAGTATCCACCATCCTCACTAGTATCCTCATCGCTGTCGTCTGCGATGAAGGCTACAATGGTTCCCTTCTCTGGCACAGACTGTTGGTTGCTGACACGGAGGCGTGATACACCCACAGCTTCCATAGTGTGGGAGTAGTAGTGCATTATTCGGTCTGCACCATCAGCGACGATAACATCATTGTATGTCTCCCAGTTGGGAGTACAAGATGGATTGTCTGGGCCATCAGGTGAGACTGCATAAATGGCGCCATTTCCACAAGAGATGAATATAATGGACCCGTCAGGAACGGTAAGTAAGTTGTATTCGTATCCGGCTGTGTCGTTATAAGGATGGTCAGGAAGCGAGGTTGTCTCGTAGGAAAGAGTTGTGATATTGGACTTTACTTTGCTGGTGATGTCGCGAACCGTACTGTTGGTGCTATTCGTACCACGAGAGACAAGAGAGTGGCGTTTAACTACATCATGAGACGAATCTTCTGAAGACACATCCTCAGGCACGGCGCCAGAGTCGTCTCCATCTCCAGAGCCGTCTTGGTCTGTTGGAGCATCAGAGTTGTCATCGGCAGAAATATCAGAGTCTGTGCCTGAGATAGGATCCGATTCGTCGTCATTGCTTGGGGTTGTAGTAGGCTCTACATTAGGAGACTCTGTCTCTGATGGCTGCGAGTCATCTCCCACAGTTGGCGTTTGCGAGGATTCGCTATCAGATTCTTCAATTCCTGTCGGAGTGGGGGCTGAAGTGGTCGCATCCGTGGACTTGCTTGGTAAAGGAGACGGTAGACCAGGAAGTGCAATGCACCCCTGTGCGAGAGGCTTGTCATCTGTGTCAAGCAGACTGAGCTGCGTGAGCCCGAGCACATCAACGTAGAGTTTGTTCCTCCAGCTGATCTGAGTGCTGATACCCGTGCAGTCATTGCTGTCTTTGAAGCCGGCAACGAACCCACCACTAGAAGCTAGACCAATCGATGCTGCTACTTGGGCGATCCCTTTTATTGACGGCTCATCAACGAGACCGACACTCTTGCTGAAGCTTGCAACTTGCACTATAGAGTGAAAAGTTAGTAAATTCCATTTTACGATGATGAAGGGGCAGGAAGAGCTTGACGAAAGGATGTTCCTCAAGGGAGGTTCTGAGTCTCCTGTCGTCTTCTGGCCATGTAACCTCCACGAAGAATGGCTTGCCAGGTCTTGGTTTAAAATTGAAATTGCTTACATCCGCACTTCAGCCCGAACGGCAGACCAAGAGACGCAGAAAGCATCAACTCGCCATCAGCTTCAAAGACTGGCTTGAAATATGGCTCCCATCCATCTTTGGTTGATTTGCTTGGGTTGATAAAATCGATCAAAACATGTGCATTCTGTAAACCCATTTCTGCACCAGCTAGCAACCGGCCCTTTGCCTCGGCATCGAGCTTGACTGTCGAGCCAACCTCGACCCACGGCCCAATAGTAACGACGCCGTATGTTAGACCAGGGAGTCCAAGGCGGAGCAGATTATTGTTGAACTCTTTGGAATAAGTCATCTGCGCATCAATTCCGAGTTTGAACACGAATTGGACATCAGCTCGCATCTCGACTTGGCCCTCGATAAACCCTCCGAGAGGTGTCCAAGAAGCACGTCCGGCGACACTGGCATGACCTGAGACGCCGCATCCAACGCAAAAAACATTCATGTAGCCACTCAAAGCCTTTTCTTTCTCGTCACGTTTCTTGGAGTCACCGCCCTCGGACTCAGGCTGAGTGCCAAATGATTTCAGTAGGATAGAGTCGCCCCATGGAGATGTGACTTGCTTGGCGTTAGGGTCCTGCAGTCGGCTCGCTTCGACATTGGCGGGGTCAGGGACCTTGAATGTGAGATCTTTGTTCACAGATCCAGAGATTGATGTAGCTTGTTGGATCTCATCTTTCAAGGCTACAAGTGTATCCACCGGATGAGCAATGAAGTTACCAACTGCCTTGATGGCACAGGTGAGGCACGGCCAACGTTTGTTGAGATTATTTCGACGACTTAATGCTAATGAACGGCGCCGTCTCTCAGACCAGTCCATCATATCTCCGAAATCCGGGTCCGCTTCAGGATCTGGGATATCTCCGTACTCCTCAAGTCCTGGCGCGATATAGTCAATGAATTCATCGTAAGTTGAGTTGAGATTCTCTGCATATCCAAGGGCGTCATCGAGATCTTTGTCGAAGAGCTCACCCAAGCAGGCCGTAGGAAGACCGTACTTGGAGTCTGAGGGAGGAACACAATCTGATTTGGCAGCAGCAAAACTACTGGTGTCTGTGTCGTTGCCGTTCGTTGTCCCATTGTTAGGCGCAGATGTACGGGCAGTCGGGGCGGCAGAGCTGCTCGTGCTTGTCGCTGCCGGGGAGCTTGAGGTTGTAACACCGGTAACCAAGCGGACGGTTGACAAGGAACCCGACGAACCCTTCGTCGAGGATTTCGAGGCGCTGAAGGTCGGGCCACTAGATCCAGACCAGGTCACGGTTGGACCAGAAGAGGCGGATGTTCGCACCGAGGTACCACCATGTCTTGGTGTCCACCAGCCCCATTCTGTCTCTCCTTTTGAAATGATATCATCTGGGTGACAGAATGATCCTCCAACTTCAACAACAAGGTCACCCTTGAATTCGATCGCGTTGACCTTGAGGTAGCACCGCTCTCCATCTGCATATTGTGAACATCCCTCAGTGAAAGCGACCAAGATCAGCTCCTCGTAAGCTGACCAGTGTGTTACCGCATATTTATACGCCTCATCACTAGCGAATGATACCTTGCAGCCTTTCTCTGTGCAGATCACACTTGAAACATGGTCGCAATGGTCCAAGTTCACGGAGGGAAAGTTGAAGTAGTATGTCAGAAAAGCAAAGTAGCCGGCTTGGGAAGGGTCTTTTTTTTGTTAGAATAGGACACGTGGCGGGGCCATGTTAGAAGACTCGCCTGAATGGCCATAGTACAACGGAGAACCAGAATCTGCGGGTATTGGAATAACGTTGGTTGCAGGTGAAGTATCGAAACCCCAGTGAACATTGGGCACGAGCTTGGCCGTTGGCGCAGCTTGGGAAAACGCAGGTGTTTCGGCAGCTGATGTTGTGACATGCGTTCGAGAAGAGCTTGGTGTGAGGACAGCTGGAGGGAGGGAGTTTGTGGAGTCGCATTGACGATGCTGAGAGCATCCTGCTTCAGGCTGTGCGTAGACAATGACAACCTCGAAGCCTCCATCCTGAGTAACAACAACCGAAGAATTAGAGTTAGTAGATCGGCTATCAAGAGCTGGAAAAGCAGACACAGTCACTGCTGCCCCAGCTAGGGCAGCCAGGTGATGAAACAACATTTGATGTTAAAGAGAGGCACGCGGAAATATCCGCTAAAAGAGCAAGAGAGTGACTATAGAAAACGAAAGAGTGTTGACGAGACTGCGAAGAAATGACTGATGTCTGAACACGAGTGGAAACTCATGGGATTTTCCGGAAGATATAGAATCATCATTGCTCTCAACATTCAGGTAGAAACTAGCTACTCAGCTGGTCTCTAATTGGCACAACATGTTCACGCCCGCCGTTTACAGCTGAGCTGTCAGGCGTACGGACGTTAGAAGCTCCCGAGAAATAGTCTGTTGACGAATTCGATCATGTCTCTAGGAAAGTCATCCGATTCCAGATTTAATAAGGAAAGGCGTGAGGCAACTAGTCACCAAGGCTTGTGCCGGAACAGCTGGATGCTCCTGAACCCCGCCCAAAACACATTACGGAAGGACTAGCACCCTTCAAAGCACTAAACTATTTGATTTATATCGTCTATCGAGCGATGATGATAAAATTGGACCAAAGAGCACCGCCGGATTGGCCGAATCACAACACCAAAGTATGAAGCAGACCACTTTGGGCCCTGGACGAAAGTAGTCTAGGTTAGGGTGGAATAAGATTGCTTGTATATGAGACTCCAGCGCCGACTCTTCTAGCCCTCGTTGGTGAGGCATTGCCAGCCCCCGCCTTACCCGACGCAGTGAGACTAAGGACTCCGTGAGACCCATGCTAACGAGCTGAGTGTAGCTAAGTTATGTCAGTCGCATAAGCATAACTTAGGCATTGGCGCCGCCAAGAAGCTTAAACGCCGGAGGCTGGCTGAGATCGTGCCATCACAAGCGAGAGCGCCAATGCAGGGGTGATTCTTCAATAATGCAGAAGTCCCTGAAATTGCGGGACCCAGCACCGTACTTCTCTAGGAGGAGAAGTAGGAAGGCAGCACACTTTCACACATGCACTTCGCTCGCAACAAAGATATGGCTCACCACCAAAGCCTTCTCATTCGGTCAGATACATTCCCAAAAGATTCAATTAAATATGTTGCAGCAACAAGAATCGACTTATTGGTACCAACAAAAGCGGATAAGTCTTTCTTCATTATACGTCTTGTGTATCACTTGTGAACTCAAACCTCGACTATCAACTTCTCTCTACTAAGTCCTTTTCTTAGCTCATCAAGGCCGCTCTGGATTCCACTTAGGCCTTGAATGACGCGATACCTTCCTGGTATGATGATTCGTGCCTGTAACCACCTCGCCAAGGTATCATTGTACAACCACGCAGCTAAATCATCCCTGCGGTCGAAGTAATATGCTGATTCTACCTGCTGAACATCAATACTCTCTGGACGAGAGAAGTTTTGGGGCCATGGTGTGAGATGGGCGAGCTTCTTCTTGATTTTGCCGTTGCCGGGGGATCTAGTCAACACCTGAGAAGTAGGCTCCAGCGTATGGGATTGGGAGATCGTATCAATGGCGTATACGATCTCCTTGCCAGACTTCTTGGCGGCGGCAAGGAGGTCGTCGACTATCGTCGAGGAGTGATAATCAATGACAACACTGGCGCCGAGAGATCGAAGGTGAGAGTGATGATGCTCGCTGGCTGTTGTAAAAACTGTCAAGCCAAGCAGTCGCGCGATTTGTATCGCCATTGCCCCAACATTGGAAGCACCACCCCAGATCAGAATAGCTTCGATAGGTGAGACAGATCGTGGTTTGGTGATGTCAACTCCGGTAGGTAGGGAAAACCCGAGCACATCGAAAAAGGCCATGGACGCTGCACCGACAGCTGTGACTACAGCAGCCCCCTGTTGAAGATTCGTCTCTTGGGGCAGCTTGCCCGTGCGTGTAGACTTGACAATTGTGTACCTTTGGTATGCTGCATGGTCAATGTTGCCGGAGGAGAAAGAGCCCGCTAGCCCCACGACGCGATCACCGGGCTTGAATCCGGTTACATTGGAGCCGACTTTGGCCACAATGCCACAGACATCTGTGAATACTTGTGAGCTTGCTGGCAGTGATTCGAATTGGTAAGGACAGAAAGAAACAGATAAGCGCCTTGCCAGGAACAACTTGGTCTTGGCCAGATGTCCGATCACGTACCAGCTCCAAGAATGGTTGGGTAAGAATTGATCATAAATCCCCATGCCTGTCTCTTCCAATCGATCGGATTTAACCCGATGAAATGATTGTGTATCAGGACCTCGTCAGGCCCAGGGGATGGGATCGATCGTTCCTCGATGACAAGATTTGTTGCAACAGCAGGCAAGAGTGCGGCTACGTTCTGTGTAATGTCTTCCATGATACCGATGAGTGCGTGCTGTTGTGAGAGGCTGTGATCTTTCGTGAACAAATCGAATCGTGTTGTTGTCATTAACTTTTTTAGAGCCACCATGAATGCATATAGAGGCGGTCGTGCCTCTTTATATGATTTTGAAGGGATATCCTCCGAGAATAGCTAAGCATACGGTATGAAAAGGGATGAGAACGCTCGCGTTTGCGTTGGTAAAGCGAAGCGCGAGACGCTGATTCAGCTTAGAAACACATGTAGGGGTGACTTGTGGAATATGTAGTCTCTCCTGATGGTGCGTTAACTGAGATGTAATCTCTACGAGATTCGTGTATTCTTATAGCCGAGATGGTTGAAATCGTACCTCCTGGGTTATTCCGTGTACTGCAGCTCCGTCGAGTCAGTCGGAACACTTTGTAGACCGTCCAATGTGAAGGACCCACTTCACCGGCAAAATTGGCCGGCGCTAAGCTTCACCAGTTACCCCAACGTGTCTCTAGACGCATGTCGTATCATTTGTACTCTACGATTCATCTGAACTTGATCACAAGTCGCTTTGGCGAGCCTTATATAGTAAAGATTGAGCAAAGCAATATGCGGCCTGGAGTCAGGTAGCGAAGCTTCCGGCAATGGCAGACAAGCAGCCAACAGTGATAGGGTTGTGCCCAGCTCCGACGGTCCTATAAATTACACGGAAACCCCCTTTCCCTAACGTTCTTCAAATATTTGCATAGATTCGTAGCCTTAAAGTTATTTTGAGTCATACGTCCGCCATAACGGCAGCGAGAAGGATACCCAATCCATCTAAGCCTGCATGCCAGTCATCCAAGATGTCAAGACTACTTTTTCGGCCTTCAACCAAGGCCGTGTCGCTCATGCTAGCATGTTTTACGATCGCAAGGTCCCCTATGGTATCCAAGCTGGGCTCCCTGTCTATGAATTGACTTTGAAATGTATCGTATTCTTTCTCCCATGCCCAGGTGTTTCTTGCCTCCCACAAAGCTCTTGTACTTAGTAAGTGAATCAAGTGTGGTTGAGTGACGATGTCGCATGCGTCAGAACCGACCAAAAGAGATGTCAGCGAGCATACAATTGCAATTCTGAAAATTTCAGCTTCCCGCACTACTGGTGTAGACACTCCGGTTATACAGCTTTCTTACCTTCGACGCGTTTCATCCAGAATCCATTCCTCCCAGCTAGGTCGGGACGGGTATCGTTGTGTAGGACTGAAGGAACCTGGACAGAGAATGGCAAACCTCTCGGAGAGATTCTTGTTTTTGACACATTAGCGACATGGCCATTTATCGAGTCAAACATCAATCGGATAGGACACATCCGATGATAATAGCTATCCGCATACCTTCATTGTTTGGAGCATTTCTCGATTTTGTAAGAAAAAGCCGCGACCTGATTCAATTAGCCGCATGATGGTATAGATGACCATAGCTTGTAGTGCTGTCAAAACTTCGCCTCGAGAATACTCCCCCATCTATAGGATAAGTGTCATTTGTCGTTAGATATGTTCATAGGAAATAGAACCGCCGAAAAACGCACCTTGGCATGGATTCTCTTATGCTCGCGATTTATTGCATCCCACAAAAGCTCGTCCGTACTGGCTCTTAAATGAAAGGTCTGTGCAATACTGATGCAAGTCTCAACTACTTTCAAGGGTCGAAATGTGACTGCAGGGCGAGGGCCGGCTTGGGGAGGATC